AACTTATTGCATTTCGTGTATTTTTCACGTGATCGGACATGATATCCGGTAGCACAATATCCGTCGTCACAATATGTAAGGATTAGTTGATACTTAAAAATAGCTAAGACTTATTAGGTCATTCAAAGTTAATTAGTAATATTTTGGGTTCAGGTGCAGGAGGGGAAAACAAACACATATGTGCTAGGTGCTGAGAAAAGGGACGAAATGGACAAAAAAAAGGATCTTCGGAAAATCAATTATGTTGTAAATCTTATAATAAATCATAAAAAAATGCAAACTTTAAGGAGCTACATTGTGAAATTTTATTAAGACAACTACTTTTGTGTCTTAAGTGAAATATGTTCCAATCTTATTTTAAACCGATTTATATAAAAAAAAAGCTTTTGAAAACATTGTAAATCTCGTCCCTTTTCTCATATGTCCAAGAATGTTTGATTAAATTTCATTTGTCAACTTTAATCACATGATTAATGAACTTTGAATGACCTTATGATTAACACCATCAATATGGGTCTATGCAACTGCCGGGTAAATTTATGTAAGAGGATTATTACGTGATGGTTACTAAGTCACGCAAAACTAATTTTACATGTTATGCTGATAAATTCAGCGTAACTTAAAAAATTCGAGAAAACAGAAAAATCGGAAATACACAAGATTTTACTATGATGACCACACAGTTTGACTTCTAAATAAAAGTTTTTCAGTACGAAATTTAAGTTATATGAATATATTTAAATATCGAATGTGAAGTAAATCAAAGCCTGGATGTCCAAATTTCTCCCCCGATTTTACTATCGGAGTACTGAAATTTGTTTAATCATACAATTATTCCGATAAGTGACTTAAATTAGTAAATCTCGCCAACTTATGTTCTTTATATTCTTTTGATTTGGTGATTGTCAGATGTGCATTAAATTTTTTAGAGGATCTATCAGGTGAAACCGGATAAAATTATGGGAAATAAAGATAAATAGCAAAAATCGAACAAAAAAAATGATTTTTTGAAAAATTGAAAAGTTGAAAAAATAAAAAAATAACTATGCGTTGCCTTAAATAGGGAGCCAACTTCGCAATATCAATACAATTTTGGTTAAATCTCCGTTGCAAAATGATCTGCAAAATTTAGAAAGTTATTCCAAATGGTTAATTCTATTACACTGCATGATTATATTTCATAAAAGTAATAAAAGCGCTAATTACTGTGGACATCCATAAAACTTATGGAATACTTTTTTTTTTTAATATTATTTTAGGATTAGGGGTTAGCTTTAGGGGGGTAGAATTTATAATAAACAAGCATAAGTGGTTTCAAAGTTAAATAGAAAACTCAAATTCATTTAATCCAATCTCGTTACGATCCGTGATAATTACTGCATGCATTTAGCTTATTAACGCTAATAATGCGAAACTTTTCTTTCATTCTTAGAAAAATAAATAGAATTTTTTTTCTAGCAAACTTTTTATATTCGGGTCAATTATATTAAATTTCAATAATTCCATTATGGATCCAGAACCTATTCCTGGGCTCGATGTCATCATACCGCTTGCTACTATTTTCAGTGTTTTGGATGCCACTTGTTTAATTTACCTTCTTCTGAGGATATCGATACGATGGTGGGTAACTAAGAGATCTCTAACGATGGTTCACAGGGTGCCATTTTATTTCGCATTTAGCGGTATTTATTCTCTACAACATCCACAATATGCAAGGTTCAAATATACTAAACATAAATTATTTAATTTTTTATATTACCAAATAAATTAGAATTTTCATTTTTTTTCGTCAACTTAGTGAATGGCGTACGTATTCTTTAAGTGATTCATAAAAAAAATTATATAATAATACCTATATTAACTTACCTTTAATATATAAGACATATACGACTATTCATCGTTCTACGTTTCAAGAGGAATCATGTAAAATTATCGGTGGAATAACATTTTTCCTTTTTTCATTTAATGTGGCCCTTAATGGAGTTTTAACTTTGACGACTTATCTTCGAATATGTAGAGAAATTGTTATTGATTTAGGAATATATGATTATAAATTATTTTTGTCTGCTATATTAATGTCATTAACATTAACCTTGATCGGAATTAATAATTATGGACAGAATCTATTTTGGTATGTTAGGATTTATGTTAATTTAACTTGGACATTTGAAAGAATTCTTTAATATTTACTTATATTATTTAATAGGTGTTTTTTTAATCCCACTGATAAAATAACGTCATTCATAACCATTTCATCGATTATCTTAATATTGTTAATTACAATATATTGTCATATTATGACTTTATTGGATGTATATGTTAACATTAAAAGATATGGCTCTAAAGTCAGTCGTGTTGATATTATTGTTACAAGAAAAATTACCTTTTATGTTCTAATCGTCATTTTCGAATGGTTTCCTGTTGTGGCTTTTTTAATATCCCAAATAAATCATGTACATAAGTATAATTATATAAATTGCTATTTTTCTTCTTTTTAATATAACTCATCGTTTTCTTTTCTTTTAGTCTGGCAGTATAGCGATTTACACTGCAGCGACACTTTCTGTAAGTTTTGGTGGAATAGGAAATACAATCCTTTATATTATATATGAAAATTGGAAAAATAAATATAGTCCATCAACATCTGACGAATCTAATGATCTTAATCAAAATACAAATGGAAGTGGTAATATTAGAATAACTAAGAAAATAGAGGTTGTATCAACAGATCAAACCAATGAAAATAGCAGCTTCGCTAATGAAACCGGTAATGATATCAATTGAGCTAACCAAGGTAATTAATTATCTTTAATAACCAATTTAAATGTATTAATTACAATAAACAAATGTTTAATTTAATCAATATTATATGATTTTTAGGTTTATATATTTCTTAAAAATTAGTGTTTTAAATTAAGTTATTGTAATCATCAGATGATCGCTCATCTTCACTAAGATAGTCGGACATAAAATCAGTAAATTATTACTTTTATCAGTATTATTAGATTTTATCTAAATCGAGTATTAGTTAGGTATGTTATAAATGTATAAATATGATTAATAAAGCGGAATTAGGATAATACAATTAGAGGAATAATGAATATTATTTACAGATCCCACTCTTAATAACATTTTCATTAACTAAAATTGTATTTAGACTATATAAATAATTATCTAATTACTAGGAAAACAGGAACTGTTGTAAGTCCGGAGCAAAAATTGATTTGTAACAGCCAATCAAAAGACTTGATTTTATATTAATTAATCACGTGGTCGGACAGACGGACACCAATATGACGATCACGTGACATATATTCACGAAAATGTAAGTCCTCCGCTACGCTCCGGACAATTATCAACCTTACAACAAATTGTATCTAAATTGTAAATAAATTGTAACCAAATCATGGCTAAGTCATATATTTTTTATAAATATTGTAATAGAACATTTGCTAATATGCAGTTACTGTATGTTAAGACAATCGTAATCAATTCTGTAATGAAAACATTGCGATTAATTAGCTGCTCTATAAAAATATCGTCACGATTTTGTAAAAATTTAACTGCAATAGTATAATTATTTTACAGTAATATTTTAATACAAGGGGTGATCAAAATTTACTGAATGTTTTGTTCATATGGCAATAAAAATTTTTTACACATATTAACCTCTATAAAATTATTATAATTCGGCATGCTGAAGATGATCTCATCATATGTATATATGCATCAATGCTTATCCCTACATATTTCTTTTACAATTCCAGTTAATATAACATCAATTTTAAAAAAAGATCTTTTCGTGTCAATAAAACATAAACCAGCTTTTTCACAAGTTCAAAAATAATATTGTCAGAATGAGATCGACTTTGTGAACACACCTGGTTTTTTTTTTGCTATTTAAGTTACAGATAGTGTTCTACCGGCTATCAACTTGAAAACTTCTATTCAAGAAATTCGCTATTAGATTAGTGTTCTATTTTTAATACCAGGTAAATGTTTGAAGACTGAAATAATATCAGAATTTCATAAGGTATATTTTTTATTAATGCACAGTAGGTTGTTATGTAGGTCAAATTTTAGGTTACATTTATTTTTTAAAATATTAAGGATTATTGATTTTTTTTGTATTGCACCTGGTTAAAACCTTTTCAGTTGTAATGCTAGAATGATTATAATATAAAGAACCTAAATTAAATAAAAAAAAACTTTAATTAATTTAATTTAATTGATATTAATTGAAATGCATTGAAACGAATTGTATACTCTCCTAAAATGTAATGCCCAGGTTAAAGTCACCAAATCCATTAATTTTAACTACATAACTACTATTATAACTTACCGGATGACTATAACCTAAGTGAAAATAAAGTTCTTTTTAATATTAATAAGAATTTATTCATATC